ATTATTTTAGAGATCATTGTGATGATGTGTAAGATTTTTTTGAGATCATGGTTGAGAAGTTAGGATAATTTGTAGAGATTATTTGATAAAATAATTTGGTATCAAATTCTAAAACTAGATTATTTGAGGATTATTTCCAATTTCTAGGATCCCCTCCTGATTTTCTAGACACACTCATTGATTAAGTTGAAGAGCTCATGCATGTCATATTCCTTTAAATGCACTGTCCTTTGAACAAGTAAATCCAAATTGAAAGTGCATGTGCTACATATGTTAACCATCCAAGTTCAATTCAATCCAAATTGAAAGTGCATGTCATTTTATTTAGCACTACTACATATGCATGTTTTAATACATTAATTGAAATAATATTAAAGAAAATACATTAGTTGAAATGTTATAAATTAAAATATATAATGTTAGATACAATAATTTATAGTGTATGAATAGTACTTTATTATTAATATAGTATATAATTTGTAGTACGTATAATACATGTATATAATAGTGTACGTATAGTACTATATATATAGTAATATAGTTTTTGAAATTGAGTGTATGTCTCATAAAAAATATAGGTAAATTAAGATCATGAATAAGGAGAAATTTATAGGTTTGATGATTATTTGAGATTGACTTATATGGAGGTGACATGACAATAATAAGCTATGAAAAACCGTAAAGTTGAGAATCATCAATGTGGATGCTCTAATGGATTGTTTCATTTAATTTTAATACTACATATTATTTGTATGGACTTATAGAGGGTATTATTTTGTAGTGCTCAATTATTGTACTCACTTTTTAGGAACAATGCATTGTTTTAAAAAAGATTACTATGTGTGTAATCATATAAGGAGGGGCACTATACAAGTAATCGGTGAAATGAAATCACAAGGAACTAGTGTTTTACCCGGGCGTTTCCCCGGGGTGCATAGTGAGGTTGTTAGAACTGTTTGAAATATATATATTCTTATACATATAGTAATATATTGTTTCACCTCCTACAAAAGTTCCTTTACTTTGAATGGTTTTTTAATCAAAGAGAAGCAATTAAATATTGATATTGTACAAAACATGTGAATCGTGTAACACCAAACACATAAGATACCACATGGTCCACATGGTTAGGTTTTGAAAAACCTCCTTATAAACAACATTAACAGTCTTGGTGGAGAACCCTCTTTATTTTGAACAAATAAGTAGCCTATGACCTCTTATCTACTCCTCCTAATCAATATTTCTCAAAAACATTATCGGTGCTTTGAGTTTTAAATGGAGAACATGCAAGATTAGGCAATCCAGACATTGATGTGCTATTAACAAATTGGCCGGGTTGTCTACATATCTGCATGGAAGAGATTTATGTTTGATGGCATAATACTTTCCAAACCAATATGCTTCCCAACCTTTATTAGAAAATAGTATATGTGATACAAATGATTAACAAATTTTGTATACATAAAATTGATGTAGTCAGAGAGATGCATCTTTAAACATTATCAATTTAGCAACTGTTTTAGAGGCATAAACTAAACTTTTAACAATAAATCTTCAAAACTCCTTTTCTTGTAAGAAGTGTGGGTAAGTCTTAGCGAGTGAGATTAGATGAGTTTGGCTCTTTTAGGATCCTAAATATTCAATAAAATATAGTGTTATATTTTATAAATATTATATTTTTTAAAATAGATCTAATTGCTCTTATTGTCCATACCTTTCTCGAAAGTCAATGCCCCATTTGTCCTTTCCATTCAGCACAATAATGCTATTTAAAAAAAAACATAGTCACATATGTTTCTCCTTGTAAAAAAATAAAGCATGTGTTATTAAATATATCATATATTAACCTTTTTAAATAAGAATTGTAAATATAAGTTATTATTAAATGTGTGACTAAGCCCCAATCGTGTAACAATTATAAAAGGTAGCTTGGAATTACTTCTATTTTTTCCCCAACGTACACTCATTCTTTTCACCCCACATTACGCATGGTATAGTTGCTCCCCTCCAAGAAAATATATTCAATTATATAGAGTCATGCATACATGAATAGGTAATCTACAAAAAATATTACTTAGATGATGTCTTATAGTAGCATGTATAGTTTTAACCCCAACTCACTGTTCCTTAAAGTATCTGTTTCTAAATTTGGATGAACATTTGCCAATGACATCTACTAAATAGGAACGATCAAATGATGGGCTCAAAATATATTTGAAAGATGAAATATTCAAGAAAGTGGATGCATTATCTAAATCGTCTATTTCATTGACCATAGTAGAATTTGTAGAATTCTACTATATAGAGATTTTTAATTAAATTTTAATTTGGATTATGCAACTTTATCGAGATTCTAATGCAGTTTCTGAATATGTATATTTTAATGAATTGTTAGCATTGAATTATTTATCAATAAGGAGGATTTAACTTTAACATTGATTCACCAAAAAATGTTGACTTTACAAAACAAATTAGAACGGATGTAGTATGTTAAATAATGCCACAACAAATACTCTATTTCTTGAGTAATCTTTAGACATTTATAAATTCTAAATATGACCTCTAAAAATTCTTCACACTTTTTTGCATATACACTTTGTAAGCATACTTATTATGGTATATGTTTCCTATTGTATTTCAAATATTAGGATGGAAACAATATATGAATATGAATAATTTAATAAGAGACGGTTAACGTATGATTTAAAGTAAAAAATCATAAATATTATTTCTAAAAAGAAAATAAAAAAGTAGTTTCATACGTACAAAATTAGTTTGCACAACCTAACTGTGTTAAATAATGTCACAACAAATATTTTATCTATCGAGTAACCTTTAGACATTTTATATTACAAATAGAACGTCTAAAAATTGGACGTCTACACACACATATCACATGTGGTCCTTATAATATGTGTAATGTGTTTATATTTCAGATATTTTATGGACGCACTTGAATTACGTGTCTTGTAAAACTAGAAGAGTTGAAGAGTTAAGTATTTTGTGAAATTGAAAGAGTTGAAGAATTACGTGTCTTGTTTGTAAGAGTATCTAGCCTTCGTAAAATATCGTAGGGACTTAGATAGAATATGTAGACCCCGTTTGATAATGACAAAATTGGCTGAATCAGCTGATTTTGCAAAATTTTATGAAGTTCTAGCTGAAGTAACTGAATTGGTTGATTCTGCTGATTTATTAAAAAATTATATGTAAAATATATTTATTATTTAAATAAAGAAAAAATTATACTCCCTCCGTCCCGAAAAAGTTTGCCAACTTTGACTTTCACGTGGATTAATAAAATAAAAAGTGTGTGGTTGAGATTTGTGCAGAGGAAATAGAATTAACTTTAGTCACATATTCCTTATTTTAAATGTAAATGACAAATCTTTTTGGTACATCCAAAAAAGGAAATTTGGCAAACCTTTTCGGGACGGAGGGAGCATGCAAAAAATTAAAAATAGCTAAAATGGTCCTCTACAGTAATTTCACCAATACAACTGAAAAAGTAACTTCAACCTTATTTTTTCTTATTATTACGCAATTCAACGTGTAAAATAAAAAATTACATGTTTGGTGAAAATGTTGGCTGATAAGTCTAAAAAATGGGATACCAAACGGGCTCGTAATGTTCCATATTTCAAATCATATTGTAATTATGGAATGAGATAGAATGTGGAATCTAAAATTATGGGATTAAATCATCTCATTATTAAAACAAAATAAACTCCCGCCGTCACTTATTAAACTTCCAAATAGGTTTGGCACACCGTTTAAGATAGGGGTGAGCAAATAACCGATACAACCGATCTAACCGAAAACCGATGACCGAACCGACCGAAAAATTTGTTTTTCGGTCGGTTATCGGTTGTTAAAAATTTAAACTTTCGGTTTTTCGGTTAATCGGTTATTATTCGGTTATTGTTATCGGTTATCGGTCGGTGACCGATAACCGACCAAAATATATAAAGCTTTACTAAAAACACTATTTGGGGTAGTTCCCAGTAGAATTTTTTAATGAAATTTTATGAGCATGTTCCTTATGAAATATAGATTATCTCCACTAAATTTCACCTTAAAATTCAATCGGGAAGTCAGTTAAATATTTTTTTTCAATTTACAGCGCCAAAATACATAAAAACGCAATATTTTTCAAAAATTTATTTAACTAACTTCCGGATGGATTTTCAAATTGAAATTTGGTGGAGATTATATAAACTTCAGTAGGAATATGCTTATAAAATTTCATAAAAAAATTCCACCGAGAACCACCTTAAATAAAAAAAAATGCTAAATATTTCTACATGTTCGGTTATGGTCGGTTTTTCGGTTACCGACCGAAACCGAACTTCGGTTTTTCGGTCGGTTAGAGTTATACTATCGGTCGGTTATCGGTCGGTCATTCCAATTAAAATTTTTGGTCGGTTATTCGGTTATCGGTCGGTTATTTGACCGACCGACCGAATGCTCACCCCTAGTTTAAGATAGTGAATATTGTGTGGTAGAGAGTTGTGCAGAGGAAAGAGAAATGTGTAAAACTTGTTGTGAACCACAAATTCTTTGTCAAAAAAGAAAAATGAAAATTTTAATTGGGACGAACGAAAAAAAAAGTTAGAAAATTTATTTGGGGACAAAGAGAGTATTTTTTAAGGGTGAAGCGTATAGAACATGTGATAAAAGGTGCATGTTTTTTGTACTTGATAGCAATTACTCTGTATATATCATTCATCAATTGTACTCCGTACTTAATAACAATTAGATAAATTGTACTCCCTCCGTCCCATAATTATCTTCATTCTTTCCTTTTTGGTCCGTCCCAAATTTATCTCTTCTTTCCCTTTTTAGCAAAGGATTTGTGGTTCACAACCATTCTTACACATTTCTCTCTCCTCTGCACAACTCTCCACCACACATTTCCCACTTTCTTAATCTCCGTGCCCAGTCAAAACCGAAGTTAATTCTGGGACGGAGGGAGTACTTAATATCAATTACCACAAGGGTTTCACTTTATTAGTAATAATTAAGTGGATAGTACCCAAATTAACCTTTTTTATTTATTTTCAACGAAATGAGGATAGGACACAGCTCAGATTAATTGAGAAAATTGACACAAACATAAAATGGCATACACTTGACATTAATCACTGTCTTTGACCACAACACATTCCTTATTCCTTTTTCTTTTACTCAAAAGATCGCAGAGGATAGGCTGAACTTCTCATAGCAGAGGTCTAACCAGAGATCTCAATGGATTTGATTTCGGGCTTCTTCACTTCCTCTTTGGGAACAGTTACAGTGAGCACCCCATTCTCCATTGAAGCCTTCACCTGATCCACCTTGGCATTCTCCGGCAACCGGAACCTCCGAAGGAATTTGCCGCTGCTCCGCTCTACGCGGTGCCACTGGTCGTTCTTCTCCTCCTGCTCCCTGCTCCTTTCCCCACTGATCTGCAGCACCTTCCCTTCCTCCACCTCCACCTTCACCTCCTCCTTCTTCAGCCCCGGCAGATCCGCCTTGAACACGTGCGCCTCTGGCGTCTCTTTCCAGTCGATCTGCGCGTTCGCAAACGCCGACGTTTCGCGAGCAGAGCCGACGGCGTTGGAAAACGGGAAGCCTTGGAAAGGGTCCCAAATATCTAGAGAGAATGGGTCGGAAGCGTGGCTCCGGCGACCTCCGAAGATGCTTGGAATCAGAGACATAATTGACTCAAATCTGAATATGTATTTCCGTTAAGATTGATTTAGAGTACGAATTTGATGATCAATTTAGCTGAATTCACTTCGATGATCAACGAAAGGAGCAGGAACGCGTTTATATACGAGAGAGACGATGCAGCCAGAACTTTCAAGTAGCTTCCATAGAGCCGTTCTCAAGGCTTCCATTATCCACATGGTTCTTCAAAGTTCCAGATACATTTAATTAGTTTGGGCCGGATAATTAAAAGCTGTTGGACCGGCTCGAATGGTGCAAATTATGTTGTACTGTTGTATATCATCATGATGATGTAATTTTACATCAATAAATCATTTTATTTTGGTTTTAATATATTTTTAATCCCTGCCAATATGACATGCTTTGTTTTAGCCTTTTAGGTACCTGCAAAATATTTTTTATTTATCCTGAAATTTATGTTAGTTTTCTTTTTTCATGATGTAATTTACATCAATAAATCAATTTATTTTGGAACATAACATCAATTTATTTTGGTTTAAATATATTTTTAATCCTTGCAAATATGACATGCTTTATTTTAGGTACCTGCAAAATATTTTATATTTATCCTGAAATTTATGTTAGTTTTTCTTTTAGTCTATGACTAATGATGACAATCTCCGTTTGATAACTAAACAACATCGACTAATCAATTCGCCCTAATTCTTTGTCTTGCTATGCAAAAAATATTTAATTTCATTTTCTTGGGGGTTTTAATATATATCTTTAAAATATGAATAATTGGTTTTATATTGTTTTAACTCTCATATAGCCTCAAAAAATAATTGTAAAATGATGCATTTAAATGTTTCTAGTAGATTTATGCAACTGACAATAAAATACTTTCTAAGTAGAACTGTTTCAGAATTAAAGGTGAACAAAAACCAAAACAAAGCATATTACAGGGATTAAAGACAAAGAAAATATTTGAAAAAATTGCACGCGTATCACTAATTGACTTCTGATTTCTAAATTTATGACTTTTCTCAAATTTCCCAAAAAACTGACCTGATGCTTGCCTCTCTGATGCTTGCCTCTTTCTTCATTCGACGCTGCCTTCCTTCTCTCTTCATTCGACGTTGCAAGGCACGACCGACCAGAGCTGCCATGGATGCAAGACGCGAAGCTCCAACGCCCTCCGCCCCCAATCTCAACGGCTCTTCACCTCACAGATGAAATCCGTGTTGCGGCGAACTCCAGCGATTGAGCGATGGCGGTGAGACTCCATTAGAGGCGACTCCAACCTCAACAAAAACAACGAAATCAAATTAGTATGATATTAGATCCAGTTATTCTTCTCCTTCCTATGGTGTTTCTACACCCTCTCTTGTTCAGATTTAGTGTGGTGGCTATGTTTCGGATCTGCAATGAAGCTAAAACTGTAGATCTATAGTGGTGGCCGGTTGGGACGGAGGCGGTGCTAACTCACCGATAACTACGACGTGGTAGCGTGGTGCCAGAGGGGTTGGGGCGTGGTGATGCTAGAGGGACTGGGGCATGGTGGTGCTGGACTGGTAGGGGGTTGGGTGTCGCAGGGGAAGGGGTTGGGTGAGGCAGCGGTTGGGTGATGAAAGGAGGGGGCTGGGGTGACGCAGGGAAGGGGCTGTGGTGACGCGGGGCAGTGGCTGAGGGCTGGTGAGCATTTGCTGAACGGAGCAGTGGTGGCCGGTTGCAGTGGCCGGTGGTGGCACTCGTGGTGGTGTACAGTTGCGGAGGCGACGACAGTCATTAACAAGGGCCAGCGGCAGTCACTGACGATGTGGCGGCGACAGTCACTAACGTTGGGGCGGCGACAGTGACTAACGAGGGAGCCGCGGCAGTCACTCACGAGGGGCGGCTACAGTGGTCCGGTGGGGCAGTCACTTTGGCTGGTACGGCAATCAGTGCGGCGGCGGAGTCACTATGACCGGAGTCATTGTGACCGGAGTCGCTGTGGTCGGAGTCACTGTGGCGGCAGGGCAATCACTATGGCGGCGGGGCAGTCACTGTGTCCGGTGGGGTCACTTTGGCCGGAGTCACTTTGTCCGGAGTCACTTTGTCCGGTGGGGTTAATTGTGATGTTAGTCACATTTTTAGAATTTTAAAAAATAGATCACTTTTTTATCTTTTATCCTATTTTTAGTAATATTGGAATAAAAAGGCCAAAATATTTTGGAGGAACCTGCAACAAAATGTGTCATATTTGCAGGGGCTAAAACCTAAATGTGAATGTGTTTTGTGACTTTGTCCTTGAAATAACACGATTCTAATTTTATGTCCACATTTAGAAATTTTGAGTCTTTCAAATAATTAACTCTTAGTTCTTTTGGTGGGAGTTTTTTATTTGGAATGCAAATGTCCTTTTTATATCTCTAAAACTAACAAACTGGCTTTTTGGAAGTAATGTGAGCAGCAGCTAGAGTAAGTCTGCGGCTTTTGGGGTCGGCGATTTATCGCTCGATCTATATACTCTATCATGTATACAAGCGTAGGGATGCATGAAATGTATAAGCCAGTGAACTCATGATGTATTTGATCAATATATAGCTAGTGTATTGATGCAATTCAGTTTCAAATGGCCTTGAAGCAGTGAAGACTCTGTAATTGAAAGGTTTCTTTATTACAGACTTGGAGCGTCCATTTATGTATATCGTTTTCCGTTAATCTGCCCCAACATAGGAATTACGGAGGTTGGGGGAGGTAAAATACTGACTTAGCGGAAGATAAGCGGTAGTACGGAGTGAAGGGTAAAGAAGCACATGAAAAACTAGAGTTCCATTTTCTAAGCACAATGTACTACCTTTTATGCCTAAAGTGTATTGATATAAATTGAGGGTATCAACCCCTATTCACTAATATAATGTTGATGTTGTTAGATATGACATTGGTTATATTTATTAGATAGGTTGTACAATATCTGTTTGTGATAATGACTCAATGATATTTATGTCCCTAACATTATATTTACCATAGTGTATAGTTGGAACGAAGAGTTATTTTAACATTAGTATGTTTTTATACGGGTAATTGTAAAAATTCTCAGCAAAGCTGGCAATAGTTGTGTGTTCATGGGCAATGCTCACAAAGATATTGATAAGTATTTTATGACGATGGCTGTGTTTATTATATACGTAGTATAACTGTATAAGTTGTCAAAAGCTGTTAGTGAAAAAATGGTTTTTTGGTGATGCAATTATTCAAAAGCTACCGGCGGTTTATTCAACTGATTTGAAACTGAAAGAGTTGCTTTATGACAGAGTGATGTTTTGCACAATACTTGATGACATAGCATACAAAGGACCCAAAATTGATCAAAATGTGAGGATATAAGGATTGGTGCTTTAGAATTGCTTTGCAGGTTGATCATCTTAGACTCTTGGAATGAAAACATATACTTCTCCAGTTCTCCCTTTCCCATTAAAAAATTAAACTATATTGATTCATTTATTAAATTACGCTCTCGATCCCACAAGTCATGAATCTCTTGTTTTGATATCATTCAACATTTTTTTTGGCAAACCATCCGAGGATGGGGTAAGGGCCGGGTAACACCTAACCAATTTATTATATAAAAAAGATTACAAAGAGAGTGAAAATAGGCCGAGCCTAAATAAAATTTAGGCATAAGGGTGACTAATGCCTAATGGCATCATATTTAAGGATGCCGACAAATTGATTACAATGCATTTGGGATTTGCTAATTCAAACTTTATTAAAAGCAATATATTCAGCCGCCCGATTAGCACCAGGCCACCAGCATTAATAGATTTGAAAGCAAAATGATTGGGGTTGTATTGTCTTCTTATACGCGTGCAACTTTTCCAGTGGGTCCAATGATGCAATATTTCTCCTCGAATAGCAGCACATACCTGTGAGTTATCCAGTTCAATGATAAAGTTAGTTGCTGGAAGTTGATCGAAAAATGGTCTGAAAGAAATAATGGCATTATTAAGGGCGGCAGTCAAGTCCTTGGTGGGATATCATTTAACAGTTCCAATGCAAATGACCACCAATACAAATGGCCATCTACAACAACTTGAATCCCTCCTAAGGATAATAATTCAGGATTGTTTGTTTCATATGATTAGAGTACAATATGAAAGTTGGCTAAGTATTTCTTCCCACACAAAAGAAAAATGAAATCTGTAATGGCATCTTTGTTCATGATGAAACATACTTCTTCTGTCTAGTTTCACTTTAGAGTTGTGTTTTGCGCAAATCATGGGTAAAATTCCAGGATTAGTAAGTGTAAAAAATGTAAAAAGAAACAAACGGAGTGAAGATGAAATAGTAGAAAATACTATTTCGTACTTTTAAAGTGGATTAAATAATTATTATATCCAAAAGTGTTATTTTGTAACCCAATTATTATATGGTATATAAAAGTTTTATAAAAGCGTACTTCATGTGTGACTAAGGGCCTGTTTACTTTTGACTTAATGAGCTTAATGAAAATCTGGACTTATTCGTTCAGTCATATAGTGTTGTTTACTTGTGACTTAATGAAAATCATGACTTATTCGCTCAGACATTTTAGGACTTATTGGTTCAGCCCAATTTTAATACTCCTTAGCATTCAGACCTAACTTTACATCTTGTTCTCTTTTATAACCTTCCGTAGATTTATCACTGCGGCACATCACACATGCGAGCTTCACGGATCTGCGACCGAACTTTACTAATCGGCCTACCAGCAAACTTCTCCTTTTTCTTGTTCAGATTATTGTCCACTTGTTAAACTTCAATCTAGTTTCGATCTTCAATCTAGTTTCGATTTATGGTAAAATGATAAATAGACAAGTGAAATACCTTATCCCACTGTTGTACCTTAGCTTGAAATGGCCGCTGAGTGAATTTAGCTGTAGAGTTAGAATACGAATGACTAGCAAGTATCTGGAAACAAACTTTAACAAATTTTTACTCAAATTGGAGAAACTTTGGTGCTCTAAATCCACTAGAGATTTAATTTTCATTGATAGGTCGAAGTGGATCACTCCAGGGAAAATAGTCAGCTCTCTGCTTTGTAAAATAGGGCCGAACATGCTCTCTGCGTTTTGGAATTAGAATTTGGATAGTGATTAAGATTTTGAAATTAAAATAACTTGGATAAAGCTAGTTTGTTTAAGGTGTTGATTTAGGAAAGAGGACCGACTACTTGTTTTAGCTTTGCCCAGATTGCAAAT